TGCAATTAATGTTTTTCTGACCCACTTGAACACTAGAACAATGAAAAATGACAGAAAATAAAGATCAAGAGGTTAATAACATTAGGGAACCCATGATCATGACCAAAACTTTCCCCCCCACCCCCTCCCCCGAAAAAACCAACCCACCCCTACAGTAAACATATCTGTTACAATCCTTGATAAGATTTCACTAATTGTACATAGGTCTCATTTTTCTTGACTGCGTTCCCTGTACTGCTATATGGTTTAAGTCTTGCAGATTACATAAACGTATCTGTAATATGCATTTGTAGTGTATACTGTAAACTTTTATGTTTAAGAATATTTCAAGTTTATTGAGCCATACAACTACGCAAAACCCTTCTTCTACTAGAAAAAAAGAAAACCCCTCAAAATTCACACCCTTTTCATCCTACTAGTATAATGTTGTACACACAGCAGCATCATTAAAATTCTGAAAACATTTTCACTCAAATAAACCAAGCAGTTAGCTTTTCACTACAAATAAAAGAAACAAATGTGAGTGATTCCTAGTAATTACTGGTTAATCTTTCTTTCATGCTGTTCACCATCAGCACAAGAAAGTCTATATTTGGCAGATACATCTGCCATTTTTGGAAGATGCTGCATTTTGTAATAGTCACCCTGTGAATAATTTTATAGAGCATCAAGTATGGCTGCACATTCAAATAGAAACAAAAGTAATTTTCTTTATTACCATCATTCAGTTACGTAAAGGAGGAAAAAAAAATCTGGCGCTGAAAGATGCCACAATTCTAGCACCTTTTCCACTATACAAATTGTAGAACTAAAATGCATACATAATACACTTAAAACGGACATTAAAATTATGTTGCTTTGTCAGTGAAATGTTCTGTAATAAAGCCATCTTTCCTTCCTCATAATTCATACATTCTAGCATGCAGCCTATTTACAAAAAACATGCTTTTGTACTTATCTTTTTCTTCCAGAATTTTTTTTTAAATGAAAAATTTAAGAATATTGAGTGCAAATGCTCTCCCTACCAGTTACATTTTTACTGCCATAAAATGTATATTATATTGGAACGTCGCTTTTGAATGAAAACCCCAAAGTTATGAACTACTGAAGAACAGCTCTGTTCCAAACAAATTGCCTATATAGATCGCAAGAACATTTCCACTTATTGAAACAGCAGAAAAATACGAATTACAGTGCCCCAGATTTCTTGGCCAACAGATTCCACTAGCAAACGAGCAGGTTTACAGCTTACTTCCTCGCAGCTCAAAAATCTCTCCAATCAGCATGAAACATGGTTCAGCAAGAGAGTCCCTTTTCCCATCCACCTCCTCTCCGTAGTCTGACAGGTCACTATCCTCTTCCGTTTCTTCCTAGGAAGAGAGACACAACATGGGTATGCACTGCAGTTTCCCATCCTTCTTCCAGAATGGATTTAGTTACTGCCATGCTCTCGGGAAGGAGCACAGGCAGCCCTCTCAAGAAAGGGCGTTAGAGCCACCAACTCTGCTGCTGGCAGGATCTGGCAAACAGGAACCTCACCAGGGATTTTGAAAAGGGATTGCACTTCCCACCAGATGAGAGTGGTGTGGACACTCTGCACTGCTGGAGTCATCACCACTGCTAGATCTTCTGCCTGCAACCTTGCCCCAGTAAGCACCTTAATACTGCATAGATCCGCCCAGATTTGCAGGGTCCACTGCCTATATTGCCCTGCCAAGACTAGCTGGATAAGGGAAAGCAGGTTATGTGGGAGCCCTGCACTGCTAGGAAGCAGGTGAGAGCTACAAGGAGGAGATGGCACTCAGAGGTGTTTGTGATTGCAAAGCCTCCTCTGACACAATACCCATGAAGGACGTCCAGGATGGGGAGCTAGCCAGCTGGAGTTGTTTGCAACACACACAGCTAGGAAGAAAGGGGGAGAATCTGGTTATTGCACAGGGAGAAGCAGGTAGCTGGCTCCCCTGGAGAGCAGACAGTGCCTTGCACAGCTGAAGCCACCTAGTGGGATCAGGCACCAGCAAGTAGTCCTTGCAGTAAGCCAGGAACCAAACCCAGCAGCGGAAGATGAACTGGCCACTGCAAAGACAAGCATCATTCCCAGACAGAAACATAATATGGTGATACTTAGTGATACTCAGTGACCTGAGCCTGAGGATACCAAAGCTCAGGAAGGGAGTAGAGTTATTCAGAACAGACTCACAAGAGAAGAATGGATTGAACCACCTCAGTTTTGGTGGTATCATTTGTTCAAGAATGAAGAGCAGACAGCACTTCTGTCTGCTGTCAGAAGTGTCATGAAGATCTGCTTCAGCATCAGGATTACACCACCTACCATTACTCGCAGCAGCCAGCACATCCCTTTGCTTTCCTGGATCTTCCTCTGCCTGCCTATGCTTAGAGATAAGCCGCAGTGAGGACGACCTGACCCCCACTGAGGCTGGTGCAACACACCAGTCTCTGGTTCAGGAATGGTCAGAATGGCGTGCAGACAAATTTTCTTTCTTCAGCCCTGGTTTTCAAAGAAATCCATCACCTCTTCCTTTGCCTTCCTCTCTTCCTTACCATTCTATCATCTAATACCGCTTCCCTGCCCCCATCATCACTTAGTCTGGAAAACCTGCTTCATGGCTCTATTTCTCTTGCGTTATTTTGGTGTCTTTCTTGGCCTTATTCTTACGGTCACAATCTTTCAGTCATCCCTTGCCTGTCATTTGAACCCTGCTATACAGAGAGTATTCTACAGTGTCTCAGCTGTACATCAGTTTGTCTTACTCCTTCCTCATGCTCTCCAAATCCCATCTAAGGCCCATCATAGACTTCGGGTACATTTCCAGTCCCTGAATTTTCTCCAGGCATGGCACTGCATAGTAGTTTATAAATAAATAACTCCAGTGCTGCATATTTCAACCCTTATATATCCTGTACCCTTCACTTCCTGTGTCACATTTGGCATTTTCTCTAGCACTGCTCGAGAAGCTGCTTCTCTCCTCATAAGCAGAAAAACAAAAGAAAAAACCCCACAGCGCTGAAGGGCACTGTAAACGTCCACATAGACTCCCCTGTTTACCGACTTCCACAGCTTGATGAGAAAGCTCTTAAAGCTTTCTGCTAGTGATCAGCTAAGCTGTGACTGAGGGCAAGGAACAAAAAGCCATACCATACTGACAAGAAATGCCACACAAGGAAACCACAAATCATTACCCATCTTACCACACAAGCACACAAATTCACTGATGATGAACAGCGTTTTCTCCAGGGACACAGTCTAGAGCAAACTCCAGTCCTGCTCACTATCTTTCTCTGGTCAACAGGCTTCTTGGCCCTTCGTTATTTTAATTATTCAAGAAGTTACGTTTTATTTAATTTTTCATAGTAGACATCATTCCATATGTTCAATAAGCACTTGGGCAACAGAACAGAAAATAAGCTTACTGAATTTCCAGGTGAGCTTACTGAATTTGTAGTTGAGCCCACAGGGTGCAGTTTGATAAAGACAGATGCAAAGCAATAACTAACCGTGTAAATGCAGGAAATGAAACAATTTATATTGATAAGACTACAGAAAAAGAACCCAGGGCCATACTGCTGTGGAAAAGGCAAGTATGAACTTTTTTTGTATGACATACATACACATATAGATATAATAATAATTGTCATACATGGGAATAGGAAAACCTAGTGGGACCATCATGTAGTCACCACATTTCCAAGAAAAATATGGATAATCTGGTAAGCCCAGAGCAAAACCATAAGAACTAAATAAAACATAACCTAACAAAAACTAGGAGAAGTTGGGGCTGCTCAGTCTAAGAAATAAAAGAATAAAAGACAAAAGAAAAGTAGTAATGCCTAATAACTGAGACGATCCTAACCGACACTGTTATGTGTTTGCCGCAGACAGGAGATTTAGGTTAGACAGTAAGAAAAGGTTTCCAGCCATGAAGATAGCTGAGAACTGGGATACGCTCCCTTGCTTGGCTAGAGAACATCAGTTATCAGAGGTTTAAAAACACGTTAGACAAACACGTGCCAAGAATTTTGCCAGTTGAGTCTGCTTGGAGCAGAAGGGTAAACCCAATGACCTCTCCAAGGTCCCTGCTCTATTTTTCTGCTGTTCAGTGAATCCCCTGTAATTTAAAAAAATGCAATGAGAAGTGTAAATTCTTACACCACAGTGCATTTTCTACCCGGTAACACTTCATAAAACTAAAAGCCCTTCCTCTAGGTATCAACTGTGTTTTTTCCTCTGATTTGGTTTTGGTCTTGAGAGCTAAGAAATATGTTCTAAAGCTAGCCCTGTCCAGGGAGCTGCATATTTAAGAGATCTGAAATTGCTGCAATACCTAATCCTGAAAACAGCACTCAAGAGGTAATATTGTTGCCCTAACACATATTTGAAAAATGTGAGACGTTAAAGGCAAAGAGAGAGCTGTATGAGAACATTCTCTTCCACTAAGTCCAAAATACAAACTAAACTAGGAATTCTTACTTACAAAGTAAGTAACAGCTTTGTAATGTGCAGTTTAACACAACTAACTTCATTAACGACCTTGTACCTTATGATTTAACCCTAGTTTAACTGCTTTAGTAAATTATCCAAAATGCTATCACTGGGCAAGACTGAGCTGAATTAAAGCTCACACTGAAAGACAAGAGTGTCCAAGAAAAGTTAGAGCTGATTGCAGGCCATCTCACAATTCCCCTCCCTCTACTTAATTTTATCATTATTTTTAAACTAGGACAAATATTTGCCATACTGATTCAGAGGGTCTAACAGTTTCCTATACTCTCTCCATCTGTGTTCTGTTGTCCCATCTTATGTTTAAGCTTAGGGAAGGAGGGGAGAGGAGAGGGAAGGTGGATGTGAAGCAGACGGTCTTTGCATTTGCACACTGCCTGGCATAATACAGTCTAGCCAAAATTAAGCTCCTAGTCCCACAATAACAAGTAAGAAATAGTATTAAATGTAAACTGAGTAAGAAGTTATGTTCCGAGTCCTCTGTTGCCATGCTCTCTGGGCATTTTTTGCTCTACTTCCTTCAGTTTTTCAGTACCAGTTGCTTCATTTCTGCTTCATTTCTTTGTTCTCTCTCCTCTCTCATGCACTCTCATTACAAACTCCGTTTCCTTCTCCTGCATTTCCTAACTATCTCCTCCTACACACTCACGTAATACATTATACGTGCAGTCTAGCTTTTTTCTTGAGGATATTTTCCAATTAAATAGTGAAATACAAATAGCTTCATTCTTCATGTTTCTATACTTTTATGCTACTTCTACCTAACAGTCATTTTAGTGAACGTGCTTTTTTTTTTTTTAGAACTGCAGTACTTCTATCAAAGTGTAAAATTAGTTTCTCAAACTGTCTTTATATTTATTACTCTGAAATGAGACATATGCATTCAGCATCTAGGTGCAAACACTGTGCAATTTTGCAAAATGAAAATATACAGAATCTTCTTATTCCTGAGAGATGCAAGACCACCTTTTTGCCTATTAACAGACTAGAACTGTACAAGTTCCTAAAACTCCATTTATCCTGCAGAAGGCCCATCCACTGCAGACAACTACAGCATGTAAGAAAAGAATTATTTCATATAACGTGTAACTAAAAAGGGAATAGAAACAGCTCCTTGGAGGCTGCGTATGTGCAACATGAACCACATACAATAGAGCATCATGGAATTGTGGGCAATTTTAGTCAATGAGCTATTTTAGTCACTAATCTATTCTTCACTGCATTTTGAAAGACAATGGTTTTTTATCCCTTAGTATCAAATTCTCGAACTGGTTTGCCCACATGGGCTCCTGCCTGTATTTGCAAATTCCCTCAGCGAGCCTGTACCATTTGCCAAAATTCTTTGTCAAAATTAGCTTTGCTTCAGAAGTTGTCCAGAAGTTATTAAGGACACACAACTGTTCCCTGCCAAGAGAAGCGTCCTAAGAGAGAATTATTTTTACTTGTCAAAAACCCTCTGAAATACGCATGTCAAAAGCACAAAAAGTGGGAAATTCTGCTATAAAAAATAAACCACCCCACATGGACTGTAATTTGTTTATTTGTGATAGGTTACACATTTGCCTGTATATATCTATCAAAGGGCAGGAAACTTATTGTATTAATAAACACATTTTAAATTCATAGACAGCTCTTATTTCTGACTCTTTGTTCACTTAGAGTAAATTAAAAATGACCTTTGGAAATGCCTTCCCATTTTACCTGCCACTCAAATGCATTACATTAATGGCTCTCCCTGCTTACTTTGGATAAGTAATTAAATTTGCGAAGATTACTTTTCTACCACTTACCTCCTGATGAGAAAACAAATCACCAGGAAGTCGCTCTAGAAATGAGGAGAGTGAAAAAGATGACTTCTTTCCTTGCACATCAATAACTTTGAGGTGCTCTGGGGAAGGGCTCAAGAAGGCGTAAAGTGCTTCACTCTGGCAGAGTCTTTCATCAGAGAGCAATTTCTATGAAAGTAAAATAATGACAGAAACAACACATCAATTAAATATTTCTTGTTAAGGAACAAGATGTGTCAGGCCATCCAATAAAACTGATTAAGACGTGGCTCAGAGGTAGAGCGAGAAAAAAATCCGTATCTCACAAAGATAGTTCAAAGACACTTTAAGAAGCTAGTTCTAAAGCATTAGAACTAGCAAGATTAAAGGTTTTAATCTTACAACTTTCTTTTTAAATAAAAAAAGTTCTAATCTGTAAGAAATTTGTTGTGAAGTGTTGTAGTTAAAAGTGGCAATTACAGGATTCGTTATTTACTATTTCTTAATGAATCAAAGTTTAAATTAACTTACCACTAGAGGAATGTTTACTATCAGCCAAACTCATGTCAACTTCAGGCATTTTAGACAACTTTGACATTTATAGCATCAAACCTTACACCTGACCTATTTGTTCTAGGCTCTCTCTTTAGTCAATAGAGAGACAACATCCACTCCAGAGGCATGATTCAATTCTCCTGTTTAGACATCTGTTGGTTTTGTCTTTGTTTTCTTACCTGCAGAAAGTTATTAAGCTGGTTCTTGGATTTCTCCATGAATTTCTGGTCTATGGATTTGAAGGGCAGCTTGCTGAGGGAAGGCAACTGAACTTTCTTTAATGATGGAAAACACTGTGTATGAGAAAAGAGAGCTCACTTAACATACATGTGCAGAAAAACACAGGTGGTTCAGAACAGAAATAAAAAGACTCCTTTGTACTCTCATCTCCCTTCCACACCCCTCTCAGCACCTTGAAAAACACCTTCCCTTACCCATTACAAGTTGACACATCTAAACCCTTTCCCTTCACACCACCATCATTATCTATCCCTTATCAGACAGCAAGGTTAAAGCACTGTAAAAGGGAACCTTCTCTGGCCCCAAAAGCTGTCTTTTCTAATATCTCCCTGGAAGCCAGAGACAAAAATCTAGTTTTTAAAGCAGGCTCTTGCATGACAGTGCAGAGCATATACCATTTTGACATTGGGTTAGTCCAGTAAAACATCCAATATTAAGCAAAAAAAAAAAAGGTTATAAACAAGTTTTATAAGCATCTGGCAGAGGCCAGAAATATGCAGATAGAAAAACTAGCTCTAAAAGGCTAAAAGCCAAAAGCCTGGCATAAAAACTGGCAATATTAAATTTTTATCTGGTTTTCCTCTCTCCAAGCATCATTCTGACAAGTTTTAGCAATTTGCATCTTCTCCCTCCCCTAACCAAGATTCGTACCTCACTGAGTTTCCGGTGTAGGTTCTGAAACTCACTGAGCTTCCTGGGAACAGTCCAGTTCTTAGTTTCAGCTCCACCAACTTCTTGTAAACTCACCATGACAGAGTAACAGGGCACTTGTTCTCCATTCTCTTCTAAAACCTTGTGAGGAAGAAAACAACAGATAAGGTATACTACTTTGAAAGCAAACAGTGGAACATTTGGGCTGCCAGATGACTGGCTTGCAAATTCAATCGTCATCACTGTCCCGTGCTTCTCTTGCAGTTTGAAGGCTACACATGGAGCAATACCCTTAATGGACTAAACTTTACCCAAAATGCTAAGTCAGTCCTGAATCAGTCCCCCAGCTGGCCACTATTATTGCACTTTACATACAGCTTTGCAATGCTGTCCATCAGCAATCAATCTCCCCAACATGTCGTCTTCAAACAGCTGCGTGTATTATTTCAGGTTTTAAGGTACCTACCATGTAGCTTTCTGATTGCTTAACAATGCTTGATCTCTCCCATCTGCATTTTCCTGACTGTTCTCCCATTATTCCCACCCTTCTTTCCCAGTGCTCGTGCCGAGGCTCACCCACACGCCAAGCACAGCAGCTCTGCAGCTGGGCCCTGTGGCAGCTGGTGCTGTCTCAGAGCGGTTTCTCTGCTCACTTGAGCTATTCTGCACGCACAGAACATGCGGTATCCATGCAATGTTTATTTCCAAGGGGCTCACAACTTTACAAAAATACTAATGAATCAAGCTGTACAACAGCCAGAGGAAGGAGGAGCAATTAACCACACAGTGCAAATGGGAAAACTACAGCAAAGAAGTTAAATGATTTTTCTTGAGACAATGGCAGCAGTGTGACCATATTTATTTCTTAATTTGATGAGCCACACAGAATTTCACCCTTATGTCCTAATGGCAACAGATTTTTGTTCACTTAGTTTAAGGAGACAGCTAAATAGATTATGGAAAGCAAATAAGGGAAATGCATAAGATACATAGCTTTTTTTGGCCAAGCCAAACTCTCAAATGCTTGTTTTAATATACATGCAAGTAACAGAAAGGTAATTATAAAACACCACTCTCACACAATCTTTTTGAGGAAAGTAGGAATTTTTAAGCTTTCTGGGACTTTTTTTTTTTTTAAGGATATTTAACCAATCCAGTTAGGATAAGAATAAACTTTAAAATTCATGTAATTATGACACATTTTCTGAGAAACCTGTAAAGGTCTGACAACACTTAAAGCTAGTGACAGATGATTTGATGAGCGGCTACATCACCACTGTACAAAGACACACAGCTAAAATGTATCTTCATATTTTACAGCTGTTCAGAGCTGTACATGGAGAATATTCCCTGCAATGCACTCCTCCCTCCTAAAGCTGCACAAGGACCACTGGGAAACCCAATCTGAGGCCTAGGTTTCACATCTCTGTAAAAAAAGGTGCAGCAGCACCTGGACAGAATACAGAGCACCAGCTTGAACGTCTGAAAATGTGCCTGGTTCCCAGCACGGCTATTTGGGGAACTGCCTTGCTCCTGCAGAAAGAGATGCTTGAATAGCCTCCAAAACGTAGGTCAGAGGGATCTGGCACAGAGGGACTGGGATCTCCTGGGACAGTCCCTGCCTGTCTACCCCAAGCTAGATTGGATTTGTGTTTGTAGGTGACTCACAAACACCTCCTGGCAGCCACTTTTGAAAACTGGGAGATCAGTGCTGAAAATGCTGATCTGAGTCATGCATATCATTCTCCATTACACATTCATCCCCAGGGCAGGAATTTGCATGTGCGTAGGGTCATCTAAACTGCAATTGTCAGGAGAGAGTCATCCCTCTGGAAGCACATTCTCAAAATGGGAGGACTTAGTACTCCTTCTGCTTTCAAGTTAAGATCCACCTGCAAAATCATTTAAATTCTAATTACTAGATGGAGAGACAACTTCCTTCAAATACCCTCATATAAATATCTGAAAGTCTTCAGGATCTTCTTAAGAAAGCAAAATTTTTTACCAACTTAAGTGCTTGTGCATTTGTTTTTCCAAATTAATGAGTCAACTGGAAAATGCACAGAAAAATGGGATGTTAGGGGGTCTTCTAAACCAGGAGATCTAGTCCTTTGCTGTAACAGGCACCATATCTCATACAACTACTATCATGAATGAATTCAAACTTGTGAAACAGTTTTTTTTTCCAACCCTGTTACACTGAAAGTCTGCTCTAGACCCTCACCCTGGTCACTGGAAGTTTCCTTTCAATTTCCAAACTCATTTTGCATTTGTTCCAACAACACTTCACCCCTCCCTTATGTTTACCCTTACTGATGTGTTTTTATCAACAGCCTTATTCCTCTGAGTCTCCCTTTTGCTAAGCTAAGCAAACAAAAGTGCTTTCACAATCACTTCTCATGGGAGAAGTTCCTCATTCAATCCATTCAATCCCACCCTTCTCAAATGCAACAGCCCAGCACCTGCAGAGCGACTGTAACACTTTCTTGTCTCAAATGGAAACTCCTCTCTTCATGTATTTGAGGGCCACATTTGCATTTTTCACACCTGCAGCCCACTCAAGATGAACTGCACAACTGACAAGCCACCAGTGCTTCCAGCCAAAAGGTGCTCCGACGGGTCGGAGCCAAAGCCCAGAATTCCCACTGAACGCCAAACCTCACATGCCATGCTGTGAGACTTCACCACACTTCTATTATTCCCATCCCAAAAATCATCCATTTCTGAGAACCATCCTAACACTTTTCCAGCTCTGATTCTTCATGAGCATAAACCTAACATTTGTGCTCTGGTTTGGTTTTCCAAGTCCAAAGGTCCTGTGATAGTCTCAGCTCTGATCGTTTCACAGCACTGGTAAGGGCTCTCAGAATTAGCCCCTAGGATGGCATTTCCACAAGTCTCCTCAGCCCTTTCTCAACCCCTTTCCTCAGCTTACACTTGAGTCTTTCAGGTTATTCACTGCTACTTACCTGGCAAGGACAGAATCAGCCCTCAAGAACCCAAAGCAGCTTCAGGCTATTGGGGTTTTTTTGCATTGCCTCAAGACAATGCAAAGATTATTTCAGAATTTACTGTCTACTAACATGCTACAGATAGTCCACAAAGGGTAAAGATTTCTACCTTCTCCCTCTGAGGCACAAAGTCCCAAAGTGGATAGAGAGAGATATGAAGGAGGATGTTGATACACCTACACCCATTAATAAAACCTACAAGGGGCACGCCAGAGGTGAGCACCTCTTACTGGGGTGTGGTAACAGTAAGAAACATTCAATGAAATATTGCAAAAGCAAATGAGGAACAAGTATTATTAAATACTTTCCAGGAGAAGCTATGGCTATTACCTGCAGTAGGTAAAATGTAAACTTAACATTAGCAAAAACTGTAATGATAGTTCAGTAAAGTAACAAGCTACCAAGGAAAGCCGTTGAATCACCTCTTAGAAGCACTAAGGACTGATCCAGACATCCGTCAGGAATGATTAACATTAACAAAAATTTGCCCAGTCATTAAGCCAGTGAAGAACTGTATGACTCACCAGAAACTTCCTTCAGTTAGAGCAGCTCTCTGAAACAGCCCACCCGAGCTGTGCAGCAGTGACATAGGCGCTAACTAGACTGCTGTTAAAAACAAAGTCCCTTACAAGTCCCTTTCAAACATAGAAAGACCATGCAGAAGGTGTATCGGGCACACCGTTGTTTTCCTCAATCCACAGGAAGCTAATTTTCTTAACTTCCACTGAGCATAAACATCCTAAATTCCAATATATTTAAATGAGTAAGACAAGCTATTTTTTCACCTTATTCAAAGCTACAAACTCCATTCCTTATGAAAGTAATAGATTTTTAAAAAGGTGTTATGCTCTGAAACAGTCTTCTTTCTTCAGACAGGAGGAGGCAGAGGAGGCAGAACATCTACTACAATACGAAACGATACAAGCCTAAAACCATTAAAGCAAGTAGAGTAGCTTAGGCTACAAAGCTGTAAGTTTTATACCTGCTGGTATGGGGGGAACATACCTGGCGAAGTGACTCTCAGAATTAGACAAGTTATCATGGGTCCCCTCATTCTGCATGTTCCCGCTGTCTTTTTTCAACCACTACCAACCAGCCAAAACATTGAGTCTCCAAAGACAGTTTTATCAGAAGTATCAGTTACCAAAAGACACCTGTAGATTATACCATTTACATGGATTTTTTTCCTTGTATTTCACACACACATAGCTCGTGCATTTATATCACTCAAAACTATAAAGACTGAAAGATTCAAGCTAAGAGAGTACAAACAACAGTTTGGACACATAGTTTTTTCCCAAGTCTTAAGTAATTCTAGTTATTTATGCATTATCTATTAACTGGCTTAGTAAACCAGTTTAAAAGACTGATGACAGGCTATTATACTTTCAGCTCAAATTCTATAGCAAAATTTACTTTTACTAAGCTTTTCTGCAAAACAATAGGGCCACCAAGTTTTTCTCTCTCTAAAAATCAGAGCTACATGCTAGCACTAGCAACAGAGTATTTTGCAGATAGGAAGACAATGTCACCTACTCATCGCCCCTGAAATCATCAACTGCAGCCAGAACATTCCCAAGCAATTAATTGACATGGGTAACTACAACATTAATGTTTTCTCCAGCATACCCTTTGAAGCACAGAGCTGCAAACAGCACAATTAATGCAAACCTACATTCAATTTTCTATTCCAGTACTATTTATAAGTTATAGTTAAGGCAGCAAGCAATTAGAAGCCTCTCCCAACCTCCCTCTCGTTTAGCCGAATCACCTTCTCATCTGGCAATCTGGGAGACGCTGGGCAGTTCTGTATGGTGCCCCCTACCAGAAAGCTGCCGTCCTGCAGTTTTGCTGCACACGGTATTGCTGTTTTAAAAAAACCAGACTTCAAAAGCTACAGAGAACTCTTAAAGACAACTTAAGAGCTTCACTGTTCTCAACTGTGTCACCTGCAAACAGCATTAAAACAAAAAAAACCCCCAGACATTTAGACATTGAGAATTTGGTCTTTAAAATGGCACCTTAAGTTTTTAACCTGTTGGATTTTTTTCTTCTATTACAGACAAGGAATTTAACTGTTGACAGACCTATCAATACTCTGCAAGACCACAAGGCACAACCAAATAAACTCAACAGCACATAATTTTTTCTTCCAAGAAAAATTACCTCAAGGAAACTACTTATACTTATTTAAGGAACATTTTCTTAATAGCACAGGAAGGCAAGCCAGTAGAGATCCAATTAATCTTTAATTCTCTGAAGTGATACTCTCAAGAAGATTGCTTATGTACGGTGTGAGCCTACAGTTACTACATAACAAGCATTTATTGGGTTCCTTTCATGGCACGTGTTAATAGAAAGCCATGAGATGGTAATACTTTTTGTTTCCATTACAATTTTTTTTACAGTCGTTCACAATTGTCTGCCTACGCCCAAACGGAAGAGCAGAACAAGACAAAAAAAAAAAAAAAAAAAGAAAAATTTAACTTCTCCTTCAACTTACTCACAGATTCAAAGCACTTTCTTTCTGGGTATTCTAGTCCCTTGAAACTGTACTGCCATTAAGTATAATAATACAAAACACAAAAAATATAAGTACTGCATCTTTGAGACATAGCAGAGACACAACTGCACCCAAGTGTGATAGCATAGTAATATAACAAGAGACAGTTCTCATGAAAAACAACACCCCTAAGATAGCAAATTACTTTACCCAATGCTAAAACCAGTTCACATACATGCAGATATTTTTCTAACTCCATTACAACAGTGTCCAAGGACTAGAAATTTTGTATATGTATCGTAGTAGTAACTGGGGAAACAGAGGAGTTCAGAAGAAGTTAGGGTCTCCTCCCCCACCCAAATAAGTATGAAATATACACAGTGTACACGAAGGTATAAGGAAAGTATATACAGGTTTTTATTCTTCTCTTCATGCAAGTTTGAACTGACCCAGACGATAAAAGCCATAAAAAACCCATACCTCGCCTGAGACAATGAAGGCTTTCCACATGCCAAGATTCTCACACCACCAGTCCGTTCTTGCAATGTGCAGCTGAAGGTCATTATGCTCTCTCTCCATCAGAGTAATTTCATCCTTCAGCTTAGAAACAATCTGCAGAGGAAAGTTTATTGATTACAATTGGTAAGAAAAAGCTTGTGTAACACGCCTAATTGTGTCTTTAGGGACACTATTCAGAAAGGAGAAAAGGTACAAAAGCAGGGATAGAAAGAACAATTCACGGGGTGGGGGGGAAATCGAGAGAGAATCTATGATGCCTCTTATAAACCTGTAGAATACACAGTAATCTTAAAGGTCAACCCCGATACTAAAATAAAAAACAAGTTAGAAGGACATGCTACTAGCACACTATCAGCATAAAAGGCACTTTAGGTAGGATTATATATTATACATATATATTACATGTTTTATACAAACTTGAAATTGCAATTACTGAAATATGCATTACTGAAGACATCCTCCTTACCATTTTCAGATATACATGATGCAACCAAAGAACCTGGGAACAGATTTCATTTATAGGAACTTAGCTATGTTAACAATCACTCAGGAAGTTACCACTTAATTCATGTTAGATTTGGAAAGGGAAGGATTTATTTTTGTGGAAAGCACACATTTAAAAAGATGTTCTCATCAAGCCATAGCTCACTGCCTGTATCTCATCGCATCAGCAAAAAAAAAAAGTAACCATACATACTACCAGGAGACAGTATGACAAGAACAGGTGGAAGTATACATAAGATGTGACATTAGAAACACAGCAAAAGCATCTGACTTTTTTTTTTTTTAAATATGATATAACACATAGTCAAATTTACGAGTCTTAGTTGTACAACTTGCACCACAAGTGGTACATTCTACAAAGCTACAGTGATTCTGTCTTTTTCAGAATTTTTGTCTCATATAAGATGTGAAATATTATCTACACGACAGCTATATAACAACCTTCTAGCATATACCTAACCTTCAGAATAATTTTGTATTTTATTTACTATCAACATACAGATTGCTCTGCAGTCACCTTACATAGACTCGACTCCTATAAGTGGCATCTAGGAACAATTGATTAATACAGAAAACTGGTAAGGTTTCATCACAAGTAAATAGCTGCTACACTTATAAAATAAATACTGAGACTTTATAACAATACTGGATCCATTTTATTATTCTGTTTCAAAGATGTATATATTTTGAAAGACAAAGAATATTTTAGGAGAAAAAAAATACAGGGAACACCACACTACTTTAGAAGGGGTACAATCCCCATCTCCCCAAGAGCTTAAGTACAGAACAAATATAGCTATTATTTCTCAAGAATGCAAAGGGAACGTATAAGTGATACATCCATGTGAATGCAACAATATATAAAGGTTTAGTTATACAGTATTTTTCACATTAAAGAAAAAAAAATTAAAACTATAATGCTAGAGAAACAAATGGTATGGCCTAACTCACGCATACACAAGCACACCCACTTTTGTTTAGTACTTCTGTTGTACTTCTAACTCTTTTTACCCATGGTGCAAATTTTAACTTAAAACCTAGCTGGTTATAAGAGCACCTCTTACAATTTCTCAAAGTGAGTTTTATGTTCACTCCTGGTAGAGGTCCACTGGAAATACGAAAGATCTGAACAAGTTAACATAAAAACCCTCCAGCTTCCACGTAATTCCTGATAGAGATGGAGGCATTTTTCCGTTCAGTAAAGTCCCATTCAATTTCAATAATTGTGTCACACAGTTTTGTTTGAAAACAAGGCTTAGCAAGCACTAGAAAGTGCTCTGGGTGGGGAATGTTAAGGTTTTGCTTTGCTACTGAGGACAACAAGATTGAACTCTTAGAAAGAATGTGGTCCCTACACATTTACATTGCCCGAGACTGCTTGTCATCTTTTCATGTCATCTTTGCTACTCTTTATATTCCACAAAAAGAACTGAAATAAGACTTCTCCCTATAGAGCATTTTCTCTTATAACTAGCAGCATTCCACATGCAACTCAAATGAGCACTTTTCTTCCTGAGTTGCACGGTGCTAGAATCCATTTAAAGATGTCTTGTATCGGTCTCACAGCAAAGGCTTTTCAAAAAGAGAAAACAATGCAGGAACAGCTTGAGGTTAAAAAATTTAATACAAAATGTGCGTGACATTCCCCTTCATATGGCACAAAACTATGGAATTTTTAGAAACCTTTTTTACTTCATATGATCAAGAACCAAATTTTTACCTGCCACGTACAGAGGAGAAAAAAGTCCCTGTGACAAGGTGCTCTCACACTGTCAACCCAACTGTCCATTTAAAAGCTCCACAGGTAAATGCTACTGCAGTAATACAGGCATTAAAAAAAAAAAGGGACACAGCTGTGCTCTTAGCACTCCAAACAGTAGTGGTTGGATGACAAATAAAAGGTATCTTCTGCCAGCTGAGGCCACACACACAGCAGAGCAGCTGTGAGCAGGACACCCCAGAATAGCTGCGGACACATTTCCAGTTGTCTGCAGCAACCTCTGGCAGAAGGGGGATGTGGAAGGCACAGAGGGAATGAAGGCCGCAAACGCTACTGTCCACATCTTTCTCTTAGAGGTAGCTATCCCCAGAGCTGGGGCAGCAGAGAATGAGCGGGGTGTCAACTTCTAGTGAGACCAGCATGTTAGCACTCACCCTGAGTGAAGGAACAAATGTACAAAGAACCCAGGTCCTGAGCAATGACTAATGCCCAGGTACATTCTTGCCATCCCTAGCAGGAGGCCATTTCAGGGAGATGCCTTGACTACTTGTTTGTCTCACCCACCGTTCACCATTTGCAACCAATCTCATTACACCTGAAAAGCTTGGCCCAGCTGCATCTGAACAACAGTCCTGTAATACCATCCTCAGTAGCAATGCAAATGAGTTGGCCTAAGCCAAATGCAAATCACTTGCTTCTGCCTGAACGTGTTCTTAGATTAACTGTTGCGCTTTGCAAAGAGAAAAAGAAATTTTTTTTTTTTTAACCCAAGCCCAGACACCCGAAGTTTCATATCCCTCAGAATTTTTAGTCTGATGAAACTGTGCCCTGCAGATTTCTCCTAGCTCCTTACAAAGGAAATCAGCCACTTTTATAGGTTTGGGGTTCCCTCCCCCCCCTTTTATTTAGCAAGCCAGTCACAACTGTAGAGATTATGAAATTGTGCTGTGCTATTTCAAAGCCAGCAGAGGGAGCAGAAGTTAACTAGCACATCCCTCCGCTGCAGTGCTGCACACGCAGCAGGGACAGGAAACCAGCTGCCACAAAGAATTACACAGATATAGGTGGGTAGAGATGTAAGGAGGAAATACTATTTGCCACTGACAAAGCAGCAAGACCACTGGAGGAGAGGTCTTATTCTATGACAAACAAAGCAATATAAATCATATTTGCAATTTTAGTTACAATAGCTTAAAAAAAATGGAAAAAATAAACAAATAAAACTAAGCTCTGATTTCACTTTCTGTAACAGGCTGATTGAAATAGCAATCTGACCTGTCCAGAGTCTGAGATGACTGGATATTACACAAACACACACATAATATTAAAAAAAAAAAAAAAGAAAGGGACTGAAGACACTAAAGGTACTTACCTTTTTGTCGGGTTTTGGTGAATTACATATGGAATTTAGAGCCTGTTTCTTATACTCAAGCTTGTCATTTAGCTGGCGAAGTTTATTTACAGCATAACTGGCCTGTTCATTAATTCTTGGGCTGCATTCTTCAGTAGCTTCTTCACAACCTTGGCTCTAGAAATAGAGGATGGGAGTAATTGCATCATTAATATGAAAAAGGAGACAGTTATTGCTTGCTCTTTAAGCATTTTATGTCTAAGAACACTTATTTCTTAACATAGGCGAAATGTAAGTATAACAGATTCTAACAGATATTCCAACCATCAGATCCAACATGAAACGTAAGTCTGTTAAAAACCAAACCAAAACAAAAAAAACTAACAGACAAAGCCTCATTACCATTTATACTACAGCTCTTCAGCAACTCTTGTCAACTGTGTAAAATGACCTTCAAGCCAAGGCTTTAGTGTAAATGAGAGGAAGAATCAAAGTTTATTTTAAAAGCAACAACAGCTTGGTAGTCATGATCAGTATTCCGAGCCAGATAGAAAAGCAAATACGTAGCTTTGAGCTGAAAGGTAACGGCGTGGTGGTGGGGGACACACACAGGACAAAACCAAAAAACTCACAGTTCTAACAAACAGTCCTGCCTCCCACAAAGCTTCACAAAACAGATTTATCAGCCTGCAGAACAATCTAAACCAAGTCCCTTCTCTTCATAAACAGATTTTACTGCTGTTTTTAGAAGTGTTAATAAAAATGTGTTAAAAGCACATAAGCATTACCATAAACTCATAAGTCATTTTCTTATATTCATTCAGACAAACCAATAGCTTTTTCCATCTTGTGTACTACAGGCATGCAAAAAACCAGAAACCTTCACACCTTTCAGTGACACTCTCTTTAATATCTTTTGGCATTTGCCTCAGCCTCCCCTTTTTTGCTGTACTTGA